TTCACTGTACATAAATTATATTTCAATAAAATGCATTTAAAAAAAAAAGATTTACTATCTTGGAAACCCAAAGGGCATCATTATACAAATACATCATTATTAAACAAATGCCTTCTTAAAAACAGATACGAATCTTTGTTTCTTGGAAAATAGGGCCCCCAAAAGACCACTGCTTATGATGGTATGAAAATAAAAGTGAAGAATTTAAAATGATAATTTTGGGAGACAACAGAGAATTGCCAAAATTGTCAAGACTATAGAGATGTAAACCACTGACATTCGTATATTTCAACTAAAAGCTAACATATCAGATTCTGCAGTGGCTTGTAGCCATTGAAAAATCCCACATTGTTTTGTTTCTTAACTCTGCAATGCCAAGGGTTAGTTGCACATATAAACATGTGCATGCTCGTACTCTCACACTCTTCTTTTCTTAAATGTATTTGCAAATATACCTCCTTGCTAAAGTCACATAATGTATCTTCCAGTGATATCAAGGTTCCATTGTGCTAATTTAGTGTTTTGAGAAATATGAAATTAATTTCTCTAATACTGAGTCATGATACACTCTAAATTCAAAAGACTTTGAACTGTTGTATTAACAAATTTCAAGACACTGATATGAAAATACAACACTTATTTTTTTTTTTTTACTCTATGTAAACATGTCGATATAAGAACCTATTTCATTCATGGCTCCAGTGAAAACCATATTCTGCTTTTACCGGCTTCTTCTTGAAAATTCTCTGTTGAGATCATCTCCAAGGCGAACTTGTTCACTGCTGAGGTCTCGAAGGGACTGATGCAGAACATGAAGCTGATAAAGGCAAAACAGAGTTATCCGTTTAGGATTTTGTTGAATTTATCCATGAAGATTCACTGAAGGTAAGAATAATTTCTTGTTCTTTGCAATATGCCCAAATTCTATACTGGCTATTACTTCAAAAATAAAATAAAACATAAAACATACAATAAAATAAAACATCTATTCTGAAAGAGGTATTTTTTTCAGAAGAAAAGCAATTTTTTAAAAGTTATACATTACATTAACTAATAGATGTTCTATAGTACATCAGTTCCACTCCCAGATAAGATGGTTGCAAGCTCTTTCTGTAAAGGACCATACTGTAAATATTTCAGGCTCATTGGCTATATGGTCTCTGTTGCAGCTACTCAACTCTACTGGTATAGCACAAAAGCAGCCTTAAAAATTATCAAGGCTGGTGGAACCACTGAGACTATGGCCCCAAGCTGCCCTTCAGGTCTGGAATTGAATCCATACCTGTGATTTCCAGCCAAACAAAGTATAGGTATGTGAGTTAAACATTTACCTCAAGTAGACACAGCCCTGGAGAGAACAATCATGGGAGAAGTAAGGGCTGCTAAGGCACAGGGAGACAGCTCAGGTGACAGGAGAGTATGGAGGGATGGACACTGGGAAGAGGTAACTATGGGGAGGAAGTGGGAGGGGAGCTATTGCATTGTGGTAAACTATGGTCAATGACATGAGACAAAGTATATGTGAACTGCTGTATGGAAAGTGAATTTGCTTTGTAAATCTTCACCCAAATCAAAATAAAATA